ACATGTAACAATAACAATCAAAGAATAAAAGATCATGCATTTGAAAGGGAGCAGGGTGATGGGAGGGGCTGAAAGGATAAAAGGGGCAAAGGGGAAAATAATATATTTTAATTAAAAATTAAAAAGTATGGATTCTTTAAAGAGTAGAAAATAATTTGTATATGCATCTATAAAATGAAAATTGGTAGCAACATGAGTCATGGACATCATCACAGACCTTGACATGGCCATAGGCAAAAGCCCGTGCCTGGATGTTCTCAGTGTGTGTGGGGGGGCAAGCAAGCCACCAACATCTGCCCATTCCTCACAGCCCTGCCTTTTTCAGAACTGCCTCTTACCATAGCATACGAACCATTCTGCCTCTCTTTCTCTCCCATTTCACCACCTGCTTGGTGCCACAAGAAGCCAGTGGGCATGTGAATGCTACAGGCAGGATGGCCCATGAGGACCCAGGCTGCCCTGTGAGTGTCTTTTGCCCACCTGAGTTGCATGGCATCTGGCCATGTTGTTGTACTAAGGGGGTTTTATCACTGGGGCCATGGTGTTGTCTGCACCAGGGCTGCTGCTAAGGGCATGTCTGGGTCCATGGTCTTACCACATCTGGAGTCTATGTTGATGTCGACCCACTTTGGTGCTACCAGAGGCTACAGAGATGCCCACTGGGGTCTAGATCAAAACCTGTTGGCCACATTGCTACCAGGACCATGCAAATCTATGTGGCCCCTGCTGCCACCTGGGGCCATGGTGTCAACTTGGCCAGGGCTATAGCTGAGGGCCATGTCTGGGTCTGTGGCCCTACTGTAACCAGTGTCTGAGTTGATGTCCATGGCTCCTGATACCATTGAAGGCCATGCTGATGACAGGGTTCTGGACAGCCACCTGGGACCATGTTGGTGGCCAAGGGCCACTCCGCTGCACAGGCCATGGTGACATCTGAGACTGGGCTGCTGCTGGGGGCCATGTCTGGGTCTATGGTCCTGCCATAGTCGGGGGATCTGATGTCTGTGGCCTGTGGTACCACCAAAGGTCACATGGATTCATAGGGCTAGGCCTCATCCTGTGGCTATGTTGTTGTCCAAGGACCATGCTGTCATTCAGGCCATGGTATCATCTGGGCCAGGGCTGCTGCCAAGGAGCATATCTGGATCCATGGCCCAAATACAACCAACTATCAAAAGCAATGCCAATGCCAGGTGTGGGCTACCATCTGAGGCCATGTTAGTGTCTGAAAGCCTCACTGTTATAGGGTCCACACCAATCTGAGTGGCCTGCACTGCCACTTGGGGGATGCTGCCAAGAAGGATCATGTCTGACCCATGATACCACCAAAGGCCACATGGATACTGGGGTCTAGACTGCAACCCCTTGGCCAAATTGGTGTCTGAGGGCCATGCTGCCACCAGGATCATGCTGATATGGGTAGCCTATACAGCCACACAGGGGCATGGTGTTGCCCGGGCCTGGGTGATTGCCATGGGCCATGTCTGGGTCTGTGGTCCAATAGCAGCCAGGATTTGGGCTGATGTCCATGGATCATGTTACCACAGGGTGTCATAGGAACCATTTCTATTTAAATCTGAGGGCCGTGCTGAGCCATCCCTGGCCCTCATTGGTCCAGTGATAGCTGGTCCTGCCCCTCACTGGACACTGCAGTAGGAGAGCTGCCTCCCCCCAGCAGAGCTGAACATCACACTCAGGAGAAATGGCCCCACATCTCACCACAGGTGTGAGAGAGCTGGTCCCAGTGGCATGGTCCTAAGGGAGTTGGCTTTGTCCCTCGCCTGAGGGGGAAATCCCAGTGGCCTGGACCAACCAACTCAGCTATCACCTAGACTCACATCCAGGGCCTTGGATTGGTACACTCTAACATCTGCCCCATCTATGACTTGCTGGAGTGCACGAAGGGACTGGTCCTGCAGTATTATAGCTGTGAGATCTCCATGACTTGGGGACATGATATCTGAGAGGAGTTTCAATGAGAGTCCAGTGATTATAGTGTCTTAAAGGCCTTGAATCAGACCAATGAAATATTTCACGGGTGGGCTGATTTGACAAAAGTGTATACTAAGTGACACACTACAGCTCCCAATGCCACTAGGATGAGTGAAGTGGTGTTGGAAATATGGAGCAGCTAGGTATACTTTTTGACTTTTTGTTTTGTTTTGTTTTTAATAAACGTTGGGTGGCATGCTGTAAGGATGTGAAATGGATACAGAGGGACTGGGAGGTGAACAGAACTGGGGCACATAATGTGAAATTTCCAAAGAGTCAATAAAGAATTGTGTAAGAAAAATTAAAATTAGAAGTAGTATATAATTTGTAGGATATCCTCATATGCATACAAATAAATACAATATAATAAAAATATATTTTAAAGAATTAAAGAGTCAGTTTGTTCTGCACAGGTTCCATGGGCTTGCCTGAACGTCAGTTTGATTTGTGATCAAGAATAACATGATCTATATTTCACTAAGTGAAGTATATGGCGATTTATAAAGTTCTTTTCAAATATGAAACATGACCATTCACTACTAAGAACTTCTAATACCACTTGTTGCTTATAAGACAAAGTCTAAAATTGAGAAATGGGTGTTGAGGTGTTTTGAAATTTATTAATAAACTTTGTTTTTGAAACCTTTGTATAAGCATAGAGTGCATTTTGCTCACTTTCTTTGAACTCACTTCCCTCACACAACTATGTGTTCCCCGGCTTCATTGCAAATCTCTTCCCCATGTTCATTACAGGTATTTGTTTGTTTGTTTTGTGTCCCATAGAGTGTAACCAGGACAAATTGTTAACCCTGAGTTTGGAACTATCCATTAGAGCTTGTGGGTTCACTAGCAGTTACACAACTGGATACTATGTCTCTCTTACTCCTAGAATCTGTTAGTTGTCAATAGTTCAACTGTAAATGGTAGGGCTCCATGAGCCTCCTCCCCATCAATAGCTGACTGTTAGGGGAGCCTGCATTGCTTGAGTCCAATGCTTCTCAGAGTCTATGGGTGCCAAGGCTGGTCAATGCTTAGACAATGCCATACAATTGAGATCTGCTTTCTCAGCATGGATTCCAGCTGACCTTTCCCACATTTATTCCAATTGTCCAAATATTGTATACATGCTCTTTCATCTGAATGTGATGCCTTTCTTTGTGCTATCATTTCCTTGCTTAGTAAGTCTGGCCAACATTTTTAATTATCCATTTATGTTCAGATGATATTGTGTCTTCCAGGAATCCTCTTCTGTTCTTGCATCAATAATTTTGGCTTTCCTAACATTTTGCATATATTTATAATTTATGTATTATGTATGTAATGATTAGATTACATGTATACCTATGGAATTGGAATTATCACATTTCTAAATTCTCTCTTTCCCAACACCATCAACAAAACATGGGAACATGGTGTGCCTATTACCCTATTACCTACCTTTTACCAGTCCAGGCATGAGGCAGCAGCCATGGTTGTTCTCATGATTTTGTTGTCATAGCAAAGCCACATAGTTGTGAAATATGTTGATATAAGGAATATGGAGATCACTGTAGCTGAAAGTTTTCCTGTGTCCCACCTGGCCCATGGTCAGGACAAATCTCTTTCACCCACCAGTCCCACAGCTGCTTGGACCCAAATAAACACACACAGGTTAATATTATTTTTAAACTATGGCCATGGCAGGCTTCTTGATATCTAGTTCTTATATCTTAAATTAACCCATTTTTATAAATCTATACTTTGCCATGTGGCTCCTGGCTTACTGATATCGTTACATCTTGCTTTTCATGGCAGTTGCTGGCAATGTCTCCTCTGTTCTGCCTTTCTCCTTCCTCCTCTCTAGATAGAATGTCCTGCCTAATCCTATTCTGCTTCACCATTGGCCAAACAGCTTGACCAATCAGAGCAACATATTTTCACAGCACACAAAAAGACATTCCCCAATCATTTCCCCTTTGTTTTCCATTTAAAAGGAAGGTTTTAACTTCAACATAGTAAAATTACATATAACAAGCAAGAATTACAATTACAGTATCTAGTCTATTTGTATTTTGTAAAATTAAGGAAGATATCCTATCTATCCTATATTTGTGAGTCTAAGGTTTCATATCTAATTTATCTTTTATCATAACCAGGGAGAATCATAACTATCTAGTCTTTAAATACATCAAAGACCTCAGAAGGATATAATATTTCCTAAGTAAACAGGAAGTGCATTGTAAGCAACTTTCAAAAATCTAGAATGACAGAGACAGCTGGATGCCTAGACAGTCACCTAAATTTCTTCTGCAATGTTGAGGCATCCATTTTTAGCCCATAGGCCTAAAGTCTCTCAGTCATTTCTCTCTGTGTCCTGTAGAATGTCTGGCAGTTTCTTCTGCAAAATAGGAAGCTGAAAGACCATTTTGCCTTGTAAAGTTCAGTGGTTACCTTTCTATGGGTCCTGCATGTCCAGTCAATACAACATTTTGTCAAGCAGTCCAGGTAAGAACAGTTTCTTGCCCAAATGACTATTTTTGTTGAGAAGAAGATAAACTCCATATGGAATGTCTTTGATGCTGATCTTTCCTTTTAAGTAAATCAATGCTGCCAGGAATAGACGTGTCTCATTGTCCAGAAAGTCTAGGTTTTTAAAGCATTTCAAATGCCATATTCTGTAGGTCTTTGAAGTGTTTGAAGATTATCTACCTAATTGAATTATATCTATGTATACCTAATTGATTTATATCTATGTATATCTAGAAAACTCAACATGACTGTAAGTTTGACTAACACAGAAGACTAATTATTACCCTGTATTTCTTAATTATCCATTAAAATTTAAATGAGTTACATAAACATAATACCTTAAACAAGAGTAGAAATATATATATACAGTATAACAAAATTAACAATAAATTTGTATCAGTAAATTAAAGTCTATAGCAATTTAAAACATTTTAAATAACTTGCTCTTTAGAAGTAGATTAAGCTCTTCCAGTCTCTTTGGCCTCTGTGGCAGAAGCAAGATGACGAAAGGATCATCATCCTTTGGAAAGCATTGCAATAAGATGCACATGGTGTGCCACTGCTGTGGCTCTAAGGCCTACCACCTTCAGAAGTTGACCTGTGGTAAATGTGGCTACCCCACCAAGTACAAGAGAAAGTATAACTGGAGTGCCAAGCCTAAGAGACAAAATACTACCAGGACTGGGCGGATGAGGCACCTAAATATTGTCTATCAAAGATTCAGACATGGATTCCATGAAGGGACAACACCTAAATCCAAGAGGGTAGCTGTTGCAGCATCTAGTTCATCTTGAGGAATTTCAGTCAGTCATAAAATAAATGTTCTAGTTTCAAAAGCAAGAAAAAAATTAGATTCAATAATCTACCTTTCATCCTATCATATCTGTACTATCCCCTTTTCTTCTTTAGAAAGAGATTGCCTTTATAATCAACCCCCTTTAAATAAAAATAAACATTTATAAACAATTTGAAAATTTGAGTGTAGCTTCTCATACTACTTTCTGTTGGTTGTGGGTGCTGGTAATATTATGGGGATCCTGAGAAAATTAAAAATTGTGGTCAAGTCTTGACTGGAGTAGTATGTAATGCTGCACTGTCTGAGTCAGTTGCCTTGGAGCTCATTTTGGATATTGGATCATCTGGAGACCTCTCAGGGGGTCTTCCTTGATCAAAACATATTAGCCTTAGAAGCAATCCACAGGTTCTCATCTTCCGTGGAAACAAAAGCAGAACCTCTTTTCCAAAGCAAAGTATCCTTAGACATAAATTTTGAAATCAAGATATCTTTAAAATATACATATTGGCCGGGCGGTGGTGGCGCACGCCTTTAATCCCAGCACTCGGGAGGCAGAGGCAGGCGGATCTCTGTGAGTTCGAGGCCAGCCTGGGCTACCAAGTGAGTCCCAGGAAAGGAGCAAAGCTACATAGAGAAACCCTGTCTCGAAAAAACCAAATATATATATATATATATATATATATATATATATATATATATATATTGATTTAACTCAGCAGCTTTTTACAATCAAATGTCTCTCTGCAGATAAAAATCCCAAAGACAATATAATCCAGACTCTCTGTGTAATTTCCATCTTTACATGGTTTATTTTTGTATTACTTTTACTTTCTCTTTAAAGACTTTATTTTTTAAAACTTTCTATTTCTTTATGTAATTGTCTACATTCATTTTTCTCTCTCTTCCAAGCCTACTTTTATTTTTACACACTGTAAACCATTTAAAGAATATTTCATCTGAATCTGACTTCTTGTGAATCTATTGCTTTAAAATGCAGCATTACTAGGACTGAAATGGCAGCTCTGGCTGCTGCTCCACCCATCTCACCTTTTCAACATGGCATTAGAAGCTACATTTACTGCCAGCTCTGGGGAAACCATGGTCTCTGCCAACTCTGGGAGGCAGTGGGTCTATGCTTCCATCCAGCAGCATGTAACCCCCAAACCTTTTTTTCTTTTTTCTTTTTGTATGAGCAAAAGCTAAATCCACCACACAGTGTGCTGATTGACTCTTAGACACTACTGTGTACACCGGCAGGAATCTGTCATACTGCACTCAAGCCTATACCCCATTAGTTCACAATACTGTAGCTCAAGCCCATAGGATGCAGCATCTCTGTATCATAGCTTTACTCTGAGACACAACTTGAAGATGCTCTTCACTCCATTTTAGAACCCCCTTTTTTAAAAGCTTTCTCAAGTTTTGGGTGGAAATTCTTGCCCCATGTCTGGGCGCCATTTGTAGTCAGAAGATTTCCTGTGTCCTGGCCTGCTGGTCAGGACAAATCTCTTCCACTCATGTCACCCAAGTAAACACACAGAGGCTTATATTAATTGTAACTGCATGGCCATGGCTCAAGCTTCATCCTAGGTGGCTCTTTTATCTTAAATTAGCCCATAGCTATTAATCTATGTATTGCCATGTGTTCTGTGACTTTACCTGCATCCCACTACATGTTGTTCCTCGGGCGGCTAGCTGGCATCTCTCCCGGCCTTCTTCCTCTCTAGAGAGGAAGCTCTTTGAATTTCCCACCTGCCTGTAAGCTGCCTTGCCATAAGCCAAATGGCTTTATTTATCAACTAATCATAGCAACATATTTTCACAGCATACAAAAAGACATTCTCCTATCAGATCACCTTGCCAAACCACCCTACTGTCAGGTAAGAAAACCAAGCTGGAGAAAAGGAAAGAGCATGTCTGAGACTATAGCAGTGCAAGCATATAAAGCAAATAAAGAACCTACTCCTTGTGATTCTTAGCTCAGGAAAAGGTTCACATCACCTTTTGCTTTCAGGCCTATTCTGGAAGTTACTATCTTACATCTTAAGCCACACTGGTTAGTTATTACTTTTACAGCCTTAGCTAATGTTGTGGAGAAATAATGTTCTTTTCTCCTACCTTTATTTTCACATCATATGACTTGAGCTAAATCATGGTGTATGTTTTCCTTCATTTCTAAGATGGGTATTAAAAGAATAGCTTCCTAATATCTAAAGAGTTCATATATTATAAATGCAGAGAAAGTCCATTTCTGCCCACTTTTTTTCCTGCAGTAGCAATTTTGGAGCATTTCGTGATGATTTGTAAATCTTTGTAACTATAACAGGAGAATGGATAATTCTAAGAATGCATCTTTTGGAACAATGAACCATTCTGTAATTGAATAAGCCTGAAACAGAATGAATAAGAACATGTCTATAAAATGGTCTGAGCCCCCACAGGAACAAGTCACTCCATAAAGACAAGGTATTGTTGCTGCAGTATTTGTAATGTCACATAGTGTGAGCACTATTCACTATGAGAGGAAAATGGTCCATGTGGGACTTCATAAATAAAAGTACAGGCTTGTTTATTCTTTCCCTCTCGGCTCCCAGCTCTGTTTTGCCCTCATAGTATTTCACCTTGCATTCCTTCTTGTTAGTAAAGACAGGAGGGAAATTCTGAAAAGAAATGAACAAAATGCACCATTTGTTCAGTAATTCAAGTGTTTATCAAGTGCATGCTATATTTCTGTTATGTTAAGCCCTTTTTAGTCTTCGTTCTCAGGATTCCATCTAAAACTTTTCTCTGGCTCTGAGAAGCTCTAGCCTCAAGTGGATATTTTTATAACATCAAAGCTTTTCCTCTTTGTTATGATATCTCTGAGCCTACATAGGTACAGGCATTTATCAGGTTATTTTGCAAACTCCTCAAGGATAAGAGCTGTTTCATGATTTTATACCATTCCCCCAACCCCACTAAAAACTTAGTTGATGAAAAATTATTATGATTTAGGGATAAAGGAAGGCTAGCCATCGCATCTTTATTGAACAAATTATTTGCAAAGGTGCTTATAATTGATGGGTAGGTACCAAGGACACAGACGTGTTTGAGGCAAAGTTCTCTATCTTCAAAGAAGCATATAATTATGATATAAATAAATAAGGATATGTCATAATGATAGCTAGTATAAGTTTTGTGTATAAAAATAAATCAAGAAGAAAAGATTTAAGATGATGGTAGGTCATTTTATATAAATTGGTGACATCTGCAAAAGAACTGAGTGAAATAAGAAATAGTTGTTTGGATGACTTAGCTATAATATGGATTGATGCCAAATTTGGGTGGTTTCAGCTTACAAATTTTGGACTTTACTATTATAGTGCAAATGTAATATGCATTCACTATACATTTTGACTGACTCCCAGCCTTTTGATATGATATGGTATGGTATGACATATGACAGGAAATTTCATGCTACTGGACATGGCAGTGTCAACTTACATCAGCCACAGCTTTCTCAGCTTCTAGTCATCCACACAGCCACACAAAGATAAGCAACTGATATTGCATAATGTATTGTATTGCTTGCTTATAATGGTTGGTAGGTAAATATACATAGTAAATGTATTTTCAATTTAGCATGGGCTTTTTACAGGCAGAGAAAAGCAAGCAGAAAGATCTTGACACTTAGACACAGTTTAGAAGATCAAGGATGAAGATGAAGGCCAGTATATCTAGATTACGTGAGTAATGGCTAGAACAATGAAAAAATAACCAAGATAGATACAGCAGGAGCTACCTTACATGGAGCATGCTGGTCAAGAAAAGGAACAGGACTCTTTTTTAGGATGAATTTGGTGGTACTTGTTGTCTAAGATTCCCCCATATTCCCACCACTCTTCCTACTGCCAGTGACCCTTCTTTCCAATCATTCCTGTCCTTTTGACTTTGATATCTCCATCCATTCTCATCTCATCTCATACAGAGCTGTTCTCAAGGCTTTAACAAAGGCTGCCAAGCCTGCATGGTCTGTGGGTCTCTGACATGTAATCCATATCATCATGAAAGAATTTGAACTAGATTTGAGAAGATTTTTATATTATATACAGGTGTGTGTGTGTGTGTGTGTGTGTGTGTGTGTGTGTGCGTGTGTGTTGTGTGTGTAGGTACAGAGACCCTTAATTCTAATCAGTACATGTTAAAAATATAAAATATTGTACATAACAAATTGTTAGCAAGTGTTTGTGGACGATTGATTGAGTTAATAAAATAGGAAATATTTGTCAGGTTTTACTATGTTCTTGATTATATAATATATATATAATTGAAACACACACATATATGGAAGGCAAACATGTAAGTTTAGAATGACTTGTGAAGGCTTCACTGATGATATGACATTTGCAAATGTCTGTAAAGGTATGTACCATGGGATCAGATATTTTATTTTCTATTGTATCACTGCATCTAGATGAGTGTTGTCACTTGTAGGAATTCTTTTTTGGGTATCCTACTGAAAGAATGAAGGAGTATAATGATAGTGGCTAGGAGTCCAAGAGGATGGATTGGAGTGGAGCCAGACTTCTTGTTACATAGACACCTGTGAGAGTTCAAGGAGCCCCACACAGCTCCAGATGTCACTATTTTTCTCTGGACCATAGTTTCATTATCAGCAAACCATTAAGACTGGTATGGATCATGCCCAGGGGCCTCCCATTATCTGTTATGTGCTACATCCTGCATTGATTCAAGTCAGGAGTAGTCATCACCATGACTAATCTGTTCTAGGGCTGGAACATTCCTGTTTAGCAAGAGGCTGCAGGATAGAGTGGGTGTCTCTGTGTGTTCTTCTCTGCTATTGGAGCAGAGTGCACCACAGTTCTCAGAGATGGGCTCCAGCACATTCACCTGCCCACATAAAGCATGCCTGCCCAGCCCCCAGACACAAGGACTCAGGAATTTCTTGGCAGTGCATAGAACCTGAATCCTGAGCCTGCTCCAGGTGCTAGGTGGGAGGATATTGTCACTC